AACCCACTTATAATTAAGCCCCTAAGTATCTGTACTTATAACCCACTCATAATTAAGCCCCTAAGTGCCCAAACATGGTTGTAATTGGGTTATAAGTAGAGTTACAATTGGGTTAACAAGTACCATGAACCTCCAAGTAAGTCTGCAGCCTTGCTTTCTTTTTCCTCCGCGTTCGGGGCTTTTTATAATGCCACTTCTCTGAACTATGACTTTTTTGCTGGGGTTACTATCCTAAGGCGGCCCCTAATATTTAGGGCACCCAGAAGGCAGCACCTAGTTCGGAGAACTCACCATACAGATAAATTAAAAACACACACACACATATATATATAGAGAGAGATATATATATATATATATCGAGAGAGACAGGGGGAGAAAGAGAGAGAGAGAGAGAGAGGGTCTAGGGTAGCTTGGACTCGCTCCCAGCCCAAGGACACATGGGCTGACCCTAAACCCTAAACAGTAAGCCCTAAACCCTAAACCTGAAGTATCGGATTGCTTGATCCAGGTTCAGGTTCATGGTTACACCAGGCAGAGTCTGGAGTGCGAAAGAAACTGTGCATCAGGTAGAGTTTGGAGGGAAGACTGGCTGCCCTTTGCGGGGAGGTGTGCAGGGCCTTAGAAAGTGCTCTTGGGTTTAGGCAAGGGTCCCATGAAGCTGGCTGGGATGCGGGGGAGGGGGAGTAAAGGGCTTTGGGTTTAGCCGAGGGTTCAGGGTCCTGGGTTTAGTTCAGGGTTTAGGGTGTAGAGTTCAGGGCTTAAGGTGAAGAGCCTCTGAGCTCGACGTACATACATGCATGAAGATTTGAGTGGGCCAGAGCCACAATCAGCTGGGCTTCTGGCAAAGCGCCAATGATCGGCCCAGTAAAGAAACCTGTGGGGGGGGGGGGGGGGGGGGGGGGGGGGGAGTGCTCTCAGGTTTTGTAACACCCTAAAGCCTAAACCCTCAACCCTCAACCCTAAACCCTAAACCCTAAACCCTAACCCCAACACCCTGGGCTCAAGGGCTTTGAACATTTTTTCAAAACTAGACACCCAAAGCCGACAGATTCAGACTTGAAGCCTTCTAAACCCTAGCAAACACCCCATCAGTGCTCTTTGGTGTTCATTGCGGCTCAGAATTTAGGGTTTTAGAGTTTCGTAGGGTCCAGGATATGGGGTTTTAGGGGGTTTCGGGTACCTACGATTAAGGGTCCGAGGTCGGGGGGGGGGGGTGGTCTAGGCTGCAAACTCTTCAACCCTCACCAGAGCATGAAACCCCACAACCCTAAACCCTACTCCCTAAACCCTACACCCCTAAACTCCGAACAGTAAAGCCAAAGCCTCAACACTTAAACCCGCAAACCCCCAACAAAGCCCCTAAACCCTACTGGCTTGTAGACTGTGGGAAGTACCTCAAGTATCGGATCTGGGCTTTAGGGGGTAGGCGTTCCGCTCTTCTTTTTTTTTTTGGGGGGGGGAGGCACTGCACGGGGTACGCGATTTGAAGAGGGAGTTCATGAGCTGCCCTAAACCCTAAACCCTAAACCCTAAACCCTAAACCCTAAAGAATGTAGGCGGCCCGCGGCATAAGGTGGAGTTTTTTTCGGTTCAAGGTGGCTTAGTGGGCTTAGTGCTTCAAGTTGATGGGGTGGGTTTCGGGTTTAGGGATCTCCCTAAACCCTAGACCCATAAGGTTTCGATTCCGTTTGGAGCTAAAGCAGGTCTAAAGTCGCGGTTTGAGCCCAGCCGGTCTCCGTTGAGGTTTACAAGGTCTTAGGCTTCGCAAGCGTTGGAGCTTAGGATGTTTGGAGGATGGGATCAAGGGGCTGAGGCGTTTAAGGTTTAGGGTTTGAGGTCGTAGGGTTTATGGCCTACTGCATCTTGATGTCCGCCAAGGCACCCGTGATGGGTCCCGCCACATTGTTCAGCGTCCTTGCTCTCTTGACTTTCTGCACTCCCAAAAAACATCATCATAAAAATGATATTGCTACGGGCCCCAAAAACCCATTCCTAAGGAAGCTACGGCCAGGTTGTTGTGTGAAGGGCTTAGGGTTTAGGGTTTAGGGTTTAGGGTTTAGGGATCGGGGTTTGGGGTTGCTCCCAAGAGCTTTAGGAAGTGCAGTAGCCATCCCCGCACCTTACACCCTAAAAGCCTGAGCCCCTGAAACACTGAAACTGAAACCCTAAACCCTAAAACCCTGAAGGCCCTAAACCCTGAACCCTAAACCCGTACCCCCCCCCCAAAAAAAAAATCGCACATCCCCACCCTCTCTGGGTAGAGATACCCTGGGCGCTCCAGTGACAATCTGGGGTTGGGCAACTCAGGGACACTCTGCAGTTGGGCACTCCAGGGACACTCTGGGGCTGGGCAGTCCAGGACACTGTGATGCTGGGCACTGCTCAGGGACACTCTAGGGTTGGGCACTCCAGAAACACCCTGAAATTTGGCACTTTGGGGACACTGGACAGTCTAGGGTTGGGCACTCCAGGGACACTCTGGGGTTCGGCACCCAGGAATGGGCGAGAAGCAGACCGGGCGCGAGGAGAAGAGTTCCGAGCGAAGAGAAGATTTTAATCTAGCAGCCCGACACCGAGGGTGGGGAAAAAACACTAAACCCTAAAACCCTAAACCGAAAAGCTCCTAACTAGCTTCTGCTGAGGGTGGTATACTTGAACCCCCCCAACCCAAAAAGGAACCACATTAGAGCCTTGAGGAAGAGTTTGAACCCTGAACCCTGAACCCAATACAAAGAACAAATCTTAGGGTAGTTACATGGTCCCTGAATATGGGCCCTTAAAAGGGGACCCTAATATATCCCTTACATACCCTATGCAACCCGTGGGCCCAAACGTCAGAACCCATTAAAGACGGCAAGGGGCCACATGAAAGGCAAACCCTAAAAGAGCTAAGCCCCCCAAACCCCAAACGCACAACCCTCAGCCCCCACGTGGCATACCTGACGTCAAAACAAGGAATGCGTAGGGATCATACTTGAGCCCCAAAACCCTATCCCCCAAACTCAAGGCCTGTCGACCCAGGTCGTTCGCCCGCCTCCGACAGCTCGGAGGTCGGTAGCGCCCACGATGGGCCCGGTACCGGAGGACGTTCTCCTCGAAACCAGCCTGGTCTTTTGTTGTCAATACCCTAGTCCCCAACTTGGCAGCTTGCCCTTCAAAAGAGGAGTACCCCAAGGGCCCCCCCCGCCCCCCTTAGGACTGCTGGCTGAAACCTTCCCCTTGGCGACCATGGGTGACGGAAGTCGTTTTTATTGGAAGAAAGCAATTGCCCTGAGTTTAGGCCTAAACCCTAAAGGTTTAATAGGTAAGGGCGGCAAAGTCTTGGACGGCGTGGGGTGGGAGAAAGGTGCTAGATGGCCTTCCACAATCGGGCCAGAGCTGCTCTTCGCACCTGACGAGGCTTTCGAGCCTCTGCTGCATCCTAACCTTCACAGCATCTACGCCATAATGTGGGACCTGCTTTAATGTGGGGGGCCCCCCCCCCCCCCCTGAACAGTCGGGGCGTGGATTGGGTCCTGATTACACGGCCCCGGGGGCCTATATGATTTTAATAGGGTGGAGTTTAGATATGTTTAAAAGGGGCAGCAATGCCCGGTTATCTTTTTTAAAGGCGCGCCGCGTGGAATTTTCTTACGGCGCCCGGACGGTTTGACTTTAAAGCGGACCCCTCAAACAGTCAGGGGGTCCTGAATAATTCCGCCAAATTGACTTTAAAGCGACCCCCCCTAATAAAGCAGGTCCAACATTAATGATTACAGCAAACCCTAAACCCTAAACCCTAAGCCCTATAAGCCCCAAGCCCACAGCCATGCAGGTCTTGAAAGTGCCGCCTGGATTCGCTAGGGAAGGGCCCACACCCAAGTGGCCCATGTAGGGCGCCGCCTTTGCGCGGCTGCCGAGGTTCCAGGATGGATGGGTTTAGGGTTTAGGGTTTAGGGTTTAGGGTTTAGGGTTTAGGGTATTTTTTTTTGGTTTAGGGTTTAGGGTTTAGGGTTTAGGGTTTAGGGTTTAGGGTTTAGGGTTTAGGGTTTAGGGTTTAGGGTTTAGGGTTTAGGGTTTAGGGTTTAGGGTTTAGGGTTTAGGGTTGGGTGATGTTTTGGGGATGAGGTTACTCTACCACTAAATGCTAGTCAACAGCCCTGCAACATTCTACTATTTGCTTCCGAAACCCCCAAAGTAGAAACAAACCACATTCTTCCTTGTAAGGGCAATATCGGGATTGTTACCTGTGCTTGTTCGGTGGAGTTCCTAAGCAAATAGTAGTATATACCCTAAACCCTAAACTCTCAACCCTGAAATGAGTTCTTAAGCAAATCGTAGTTGAGGGTATCCAGGCGCAATCGTGAAGAGACGTTTTTGACTTAGGGGCATTTTGGGCCGTTGAGCCTTCTGGGCATGCTTAAGGTGTAAGTCCTTATAGGGCCTCACAGGCTTGAGCTGGCTTTTAAGGGCTTTTTACGCAGAAGGGATGCTTTTTGAGGGTTGGGGGTTGGGAGGGGGGGGGGGGGTTTAGGGTGTTGCGGACGCTTGGGCTTGATAGTGGTCAGGGATGCTTGTGGATTCAGGCTGTAGTGCTGCAGAAGTCTTGAACTGACGAGGCCTGGGCACCCACGATCAGCTGAATAACCCCTAAACCCTAACCTACACCCTGGTAAGGAGGGGGCCACCCCTGTTTATAAGTCGAGTCATAAGGGCCCGAATGTAGGGTAAGGAGGCCCGCCTCCTTGTAAACCGCTTCCAGAAGCCTTCATCGGATAATATGTTGGAAAAAGGTGAAAAAGCATGGTTTAGGGTTTAGGGTTTAGGGGTGAGGGGAGAAAACATGCGGGGGTTAAAGGCTCTCAGGTGGTGAAGCCCGCGTTGCTTTGGAGTATTAGGGTTTCAGGGTTATAGGGTTGAGGGATCATCGAAGCTCGGCAACCCTCAAATCATCCTCAACCGCCAAACACAAGCTTTTCTCAATCCCAAGCCGGCCAAGAGCTCTTGCCAGGTGCCACCGCCTAGAAACTCTTGAGCGCAAACGTGTTGTCGAAAACAAACACCGTGCATAGGCAAGCTGCATTGGGTCCGATGAAGCACCACATCACCTGGCCATGCGAGCAAGGGCTAAGAGCTTACAGGGTTCTGAATCGGTTCAGGTTTGGGTAGAGTTCTGTACGCTTGGAAGGGAATGGTATTGGTTGTTCGGCTTCATCAAGCTGCACTTGAAGATAGAGAATAAAATAAGTGTACTACTGGCTTCCAGGAATAGGTATCGGGTCCGCCTAGAGTTCTTGTGCGACTATACCCCTTCGAAGGGCAAGCCCCCTAGATCCTAAACCCTAAAACCCGAAACCCTAAACCCTAAACACCGCACCCTGAAATAGAACCCCTGTGTTTCATGTCGGCGGAGGGGACGTGCCAGGGCCGCGATAGAGACACGAGGCTAGGGCTTGGAGTTTTGGAGTTTTGGAGGCTTAGGGTCTCAGGGTCTCAGGGTCTCAGGGTCTTAGGGTCTTAGGGTCTTAGGGTCTTAGGGTCTTAGGGTCTTAGGGTCTTAGGGTCTTAGGGTCTTAGGGCACCCCAAACACTTTTAACCGGACACCCTGGAACGCTGTGCGAACCTGAACGCCCAGCTGTGGGATGGCAATGAGCGTCAGCTTCCAGAGTGGGTAGAACTCCTTCTCCTGGGAAGTCAATGTGCATTAAACACAGGGTTTAGGGTTTAGGGATGTTTTAGGGTTTAGGATGTTCCTTCAATCACATTCGGATTGCTGAAGAACTTTGCAGAATAGTTCAAAAATCCAGTAAACCCCACAAACTAACTCTGTGCGCACATAAGCTCCATAAAGCGTATAGACCCTAAACACTAGACGAATGGTTTGTCCGGTTTCAGAACAATGATAGACCCTAAACAACCCTATGGTCATAAACCCTGAAAGCCCGATCAAAACAAAACCTAAACCCTAAAAGGCCTCATTTGTCAGGGAACCCATCACAGCCGCGCTGCTATAATTGAAGTCCTCCCAGTGCCTAGCCCCCGCACCCTAAACATCTCAGCCCTGTGAACTCTGCACCCGAGGACTTCTACCGATTACTACTACTACTACTACTACTGCTGCTGCTGCTACTACTACTACTACTACTGCTACTACTACTACTACTACTACTACTCCTACTACTACTACTACTACTACTACTACTACTACTACTACTACTACTACTACTACTACTACTACTACTACTACTAGTACTACTACTACTACTACTACTACTACTACTACTACTACTACTACTACTACTACTACTACTCCTACTACTGCTACTCCTACTCCTACTTCTACTCCTACTCCTACTCCTACTCCTACGCCTACGCCTACGCCTACTCCACTACTACCACCACCACGACCACTAACCTCTTGAAAAGGCGACAAGATCGTCTCTACAGAAGCTCCTCTGTATCTGAGCTGTCATCCCCCACGTCCTCAGAGCATGGGATCCTACCCTTAGAGGATAGGATTAGGGAGACCCTTGGGGACATAGACCCTCCGAATAAGGTCCCTGTTTAAGAGAGCCAGAAGAAGGTTGAGAAGGGTTCCCTTTTGAGGGTCCCCCTTCTCCTCCCTGGGAACACTCCCTCACCTGGTGGTTAGAAGTTCTTGTGCTTCTAGCCGTTACAAAGAATGGTACTTCCCAAAGGGCCCCATACGACTCAACTAAGGCATCTTCCCTAAATCATAACAGGGATCCCTTTACAATGTGGGGCAATATTCCTTAACTAAGGGGTGTTTGACTCTCTGGGTTAGTGTGGAAAAATCGATCTCCCTAGGCTGCTGGGGTTCCCTGGAGTCTTGATTTAAGGTTTCGGAGCTCCAGAGTGCTATGGCTTTAGGGTTTTAGGGTTTTTAGGGGGTTTAGGGGGTTTAGGGGGTTCAGGGGGTTTCGGGGGTTTAGGGGGGTTTAGGGGGTTTAGGGGGTTTAGGGGGTTTAGGGGGCTCAGGGGGTTTAGGGGGTTTAGGGGGTTTAGGGGGTTTGGGGGGGGGGGGGGGGGGGGGGGGGGGTTGGCTACTTTGCAACACAACCATGAGTACTAGGGTCCCAAAAGCCTAGTTTGACGACTTTGGAAGGATGGTTCCGGGAATAGGCCGTCTCGCATTGGAGTATCTACTCGTGGTCGTCGCAACAGCTATCGCATAGCCACACAGCACACGGCAGCCATAAATGACACGCCGGACGCCATTCTGGGCTTTCGTGAGACCCATGCACTCAACAAACAGAGGCCAAGCATACTGTAGTATTCCCTTATGGTCTGAGATTCCCTTCTGGTCCCTATATACAATTCCACTATCATGACCGCCAAGACACAATTCTAGTCATTCGGGCACCTACAATAACCCCCCCATCTCCTGTCCATCGAGCCTAAACCCAAGCCCCCCCCCTCCCACCCCCAACCCAAACCCCAAACCCCCCCTAAATGAAAAGGTCATAGACCTCGCTTGGCTGATAATGGAGAGCGCCCTTGATCCTGTCTCAAAAATGTATTTTAGTCCCTTTTGAACCTTTTGAGTTCCCGGTTGCCATGGAACCCAAACTACCCAGACACCCTAAACCCAAAACCCTGGTAGCTTTGGTCATGCCAAGATGCAGGCTTCTCCTTAGTGGCTGCCCGGTGCCACGTGAACCCTAGACACGGTTACAGCCGGGCGCGAGGACAGTTTAGGGTTTAGGGTTTAGGGTTTAGGGTTTAGGGTTTAGGGTTTCGGGTTTCGGGTTTCGGGGCTTGGGCGCAGGGAGTCTGTGGCTCTGGGGTTTGACTCGGGCTCGCATCTCAGCTTGGATGCAGGCAAAGCATCCAGGTAGCCCTTCTCCAAGCAGTATTCCAACTCCTGCAGTGGGAGGATCCTCTGCTCTCTTAGCCCTAAACCCTAAACCCTGAACCCTAAACTTTTTAGGGAACTTACATAGAAACCCCAAACCTAAAGCCAGTAAGCCCTATATAACCCTAGAGCTTAGAGTACCTTCTAAGGGTTTATAGGGTTTAGGGTTTAGGGTTTACGGATTAGGGTTTAGGGTTTAGGGTTTAGCCCTCTCAGCTCTGAACCCCCAGAAGCCCAAGCCGCAGAAACTCTGGACCTTAGAATCCTAAACTCCGGCAAGCCGAAACCCTGATTTAGCCGTAAACTCTACAGACCCTCTAGACCCCATGGAGCCTAGACCCCAGACTGATAAGCCGGATAAACGTCAAAACCCTAAACCCCAGATCCTAAACCCTAAGCCTCGGCAAGCTCGAGGATCACAACAAGGGTTTAGGGGTCAGGGGTTAGGGTTTAGGGTTCAGCCCCCCCCCCCCCCCCCCCCCTGCCACCATACCCCCCGAAGCACCCAACAAAGCCTGGACCCCATCAGTGTTGAGGATTTAGGTTTCAGGTTTTAGGATGTTGGTGTAGGTTTACAGATCTTAGGGTGTTGGGTGTAGGGTTGGGGACATGAGGGTGTTGGGTTTGGGGTTGGGGGTTTAGGGTTCATGGCGAAGTTCATGGTGTACGCAAGATCATATTCTCAGAACGGTCCGATAACCTACCCTTACACGAAACCCTAATATGGGCATATCCAAAAAGAGGGGTACCCCTACTTTCGGAAAACCCCACATGACTAGCCTTGATTGCAGCCTAAACCCTGAGGTTCATGGCTGCATTAAGCTACTGAGAACAACCAGCAAGGCCTCCGATTCTTCTACACCCTATAAAGCGTCCATGTGAAAGGTCTAACCCCTAGACCCTAAACTCTACAAGCCTAAACATGAGAAGCCGCAGTTGAGAAATATAATTGTCAGTCAAGGGTTTGGGATATGACTTGCGCAGACCCCAAACCCGAGTTCTGAGCTCTATACACCCGCTTGCAAAGCACTGGGTCACTGGACCTTTGACACAACCGCTGTGGGCGAAGCCTTTGACGGTGCCGAGCATTTAGGAGAGCCGCGAAAGCAGAGATGTTGGCAAGGAAGCTTAAACTCGGGCAAGTCCCTGTCGGCATCGGCGCCTTCAACACGATGCCCGGGCTGCAAGGAACGAGGCTGTCTCGCCATTCTTGTTCTTTAAGTTCTTGTCTGCCCCGGCTTCCACAAGCAATCGCAGGGCGCCATGGTTTCCCTCGCCAGCTGCATGCATGAGGGCTGTGTTGCCATCGATGTCCGCCATGTTCATGTCGGCGCCGGCCTCCAGCAGCAAGCGCATCACTTCAACCTTTTCCCAAAGAGCTGCACACATGAGCGCCGTGGAGCCGTCGTTGTCGGCCAGGTTCTTGTCAGCGCCGGCCTCCAGCAGCAAACGCACGACTTCAACGTGGCCTTGGCCGGATGCCGCGGTGAGAGGGCGCTCCCTGTCCTTAATCCCTGTTCCCCCAGGAAGAAAAAAGGATCCTTTTTGTTCATACATTAGAAAGCCCATAACCCCAAAGGTAAAAAGGATCCCTAACACTGATCGAGTGTCCGTGCTCAGATCTGGGTCCAGGGGCATCTGCAGCATGGACTCCACCTGGAGGGAGGATCCCTATACTTCACATTCGGGCCTTCATTACTTCTACCTACATAAGGAAATGATTGACATGATGATTACACAATTCATTACATAGTGACTACATAGAGATGACATAATGATGACGCGAGTATGCTAGCAACATCTAGCAACGTCAACTCACTGCATCATCATGCCGGAAAAGCCCACCGTATCGGCTGAGCCATCTCTGGCGGCAGCCACGAGATCGTGAGCTTGTGTCTGAGAAGCATCCCAGAAAGTTTGCAAAACGAGGTCCAGGTCCCGGGGAGATTCTAGCTCGTCAGCATCATCCAGATCGGCGCCCTGAAACAGGAGCCTCTGCCTGAAGCGGGGAGGGAGGCCATGTAGCTGATGCAATCTCCGCTTCACGTCCCTGACGTTGCCCATCTCCTCCACAGGCAGGCGCGCCACATCTTCCCCGGAGAGTAGGCGGATGCACAGCATCCTTGTCCAGAAGGAGCTTGCGAGCTACCGTATGCGTGGCATTGCAAGGAAACAAGCTCTGGCATGGCTGCGCATCAAGAACCAAGCTTCCCATGCGTTGAAACCCTGCATCGGCCCGCTTTCCTTCACAAACTAACTGGGGGTTTACGAAAATAAGGGGCCCTGATATTATAGTCCCCAAATAGCAGGACACTCAAAAACCCTGAGACCCTAAACCCAACACTCAAACACCCTTAAACCCTAAGCACAACACTCAAAAACCCTTAAAATCCTAAACGCAACACTCGAAAATCTGTAAACCCTAAACACTGAAACCCAAACCGGATATGAACGAACAGGGCCGGGGGGCTAAACAGGATTCTCAAAAATGTTCGTAAATATTGTGTTTGGGGTTTAGGATTTAGGGTTTAGGGTTTAGGGGTACCTTACAGGATTCTCAGAAATGTTCGGAAATAATACGGGGGTTTAGGGTGTAAAGTTTAGGGTCTAGGGTTTTGTGTTTGGGGTTTGGGGTTTAGGGGTACCTTATTGTGATCCTTATTGTGGTCCTTTTTATAAGGGAATTGCTCTATTTGGGCGTCTATATTAAGGTCCCTTATGCTCGTAAACTCCCATATCTATGTAAACTTTCTAAAATATATAGATATCTACATTACATAAATATCTCTCTCTCTGTCTCTTGTATGTGAATCTTTGTCACAGGGTCCAAATGTAGTGTTTTGTTGGAGTCATGCACAGACAAGTGGCAAGGGACACCTGCCAGAAAGCCCCCCGAAACTCGCTGAGACGCTCCGACTTTGGGGTACGCTTTATGGTTTAGGGTTTAGAGGGTTTAGGAATTTTGAACATTCGGATACTTGTCAGCCTCTTGTAGTTCTATATTTAAGGATTCTGTTATAAAGGATGCAAACGTAGGCACTAGGCGTTCGGGCTTATAGTCTGCAGGGTTTAGGTGTTAGGTAACAGGGGCTGCTCAGGGTTTAGGATATAGATTGTGAGACAGGAGACTTACAGCCTCCATTGTCTAGCATGTTGGGATTTCAGAAATTAGCGGGTACCTTCTTCGGGTCCTTCTTAAGGGAAACCTACTATTTGGCGGCGGTCTATATTAGCAGGCCCTTCTTTTCGTAAACTGCCATGTGGATTGTGGTTTTAATTTTCCAGGTCTACGCTTTATGGGGTTCAGGGCGTAGGCTTGAGGCCTTTCGGACTTAGGGATTACGGTTTGGGCAATATTCCTCAATTGAGATGCACATTGCAATTTTGGGGTCTAGAGAATGAAGCTCACCTTCCCACCCACCCCTCCCCCTGCCCCGCCCTAAACAAAAAGAACAAACGTTGGCTCCTCCTCGTTGCCAGCAGCTCGTGCGCGTGCGGCCTGGGGTGTGTGCTCAGGTAGCGCAGGTCAGCAATGTTTTATAGAGCTTGGGAGTAGGGTTTAGGGTTTAAGGTTAAGGGCTAAGGTTTATGCAAGCAAACAGCAAGTAGCCAAAACCGCATGAACATAAGTCCGCCCCGGTGCGGTGTAACTTTATGGGTCTTCTCCTTCACTATATATTAGATGCCTAGCTCCTGAACTCGAACACACACCCAAAACAGCTTCCCTTGGGGCTTCGTAAAGAATCCGCCGAGGCCTCGGGCGGCCCCTTCTTGCTTGGAGTGGGTACCCTCAACAGGGCCCAATAGCATCTTTCACCCGCGATCTCCGGTTTGGGCTGCCTCGCTGCTGGGCAGGCCCCGGCCGAGGCGGGTCGCGTAGCGTTCAGGTCCGACAGGCATACTAGACTATCCCATGCTATGCTGCATACTTTGCTACAGAATTTTCCGTATATAACCGAAACTGTACCCCACAATCTAAAACAGACTTGTTTACACACATATATATATATATATGATGCCCACACAATACAACCCCTTCACCCTGAACCACCAACTATTAGGGGGGCGCTCGCCATCCGGTCCGCAAAGTCACGCGGGTGCAGGGCTTCCAGAAATCCGAGTCTGTGATTATCAAGAAGGCCTTGAAGGGTTAAGAGTTTAGAGTTTGGGGATTTACGGTTGTTTAGGGTTCAGGCTTTGAGGGTTTCAGGCTGTGAGACCTCGGCGTTTCGACTTTTGTGTCTTCACAGGGCTTTCCTGACCGACATCTCGTGATACTCTGTTCGTGTACATTTCACCAAGATGCAGGCGGGCCGCTTCATCCCTCTAATTACCAGGATCACTTATGTCAAGGTAGTAAGGTCGGGTCGGTGTGTTCTCTTGCT